ACTACGTGAAAATCTGTGATGAATTTTCCAAAATAAAATTAGTAGGTCCGAAAAGACACATTTTTAAACTTTTCTATTTTTTTAAAAAATATATTGGGAAACATTGACAATCTGGCGAATGATGTGGCATGCCTGAGATACCATTAGGACCTTACCCAATAGGGTACTCTAATAGATTTATCTATGTATAACACCATGCGTTTGTATGACATCAAGTCCCTGAAGTAAGACCGCCGTTCAAGGGTGGGAAGCGTCTATAACTAAGCGAAAGCATTTTCAAATAAACAAAGTTTTTAATAGAAATACCTTACAAAGTGGACCCTTCGTCATCGATTGTAGGTTTTCCTTGCCGCGACAACGCAATGGTAGAAACAATTTTTCGATGTCTTCGTGCTTTCGGAAAAACCTTGAAAGCACACCGTCGCAAACCGCAATTACGTACTTCGAATACACACACGGTGTTTCTGCTTTTCATTCATTGAGGGGACCGCTACACCGCTTCGCAGCAGCACATGTCCTGCGCGCCCCGTTTTTCGTACTTTTCCTCCATTAGCTAGGGCGCCGACCCGCTGACCGTTCTTGCCTGCCAGTTAACGAGTTCTTTCTTATGACAGATCTATATTTCTGCTGACAGCACTTGGTATGCCTTCTTGAAATAAATCATGCCAAAGCTATTGTTATGAAAAGATATGGATTATGTTATGGAATAAACTACAAACGGGAAACTGTCGGCTCCTATTAAGAGAACCTTTCATATCTTACATAAAATAACCTAAGTTGTCTTTAAACATCAGCAGTCCAAAGGCCTCCGTGGGTGGGTTAATAAAAAAGCCGGAGTTAACACGTGCGGGCCTCACTGAAAATAAAAGCCCTCAAAGCATTTTAAACCAATTTTTTATTAGTTGCGAAGGGCTAAAGTTTTATTTACTTACTGAATTTGAGTAAGCGAATTCAGTATTTCAATATAGCAAGATGCCGTGTAATGGAGTCATACTTGGGTCCTTAAAGATCTTATCTGCGCCTGAAGACCTTCATTTTTAGATGAAGTTTCTTGGCATATACTCTCCACTCATGAAACAAGCTGCACCCAGAAGGGACCAAGGGAATTCAATATCATTGTCGGCAGGGAAATCGTTAGTCACACATACGATGTGATCTAATTTTCACATTTGTAGATCGCCCATTTACTGCGGTACATGACTTCGCGAAATAAATGTTAGTAGGGTGACGGGTTTCTTCACGTAGCGAACACATACGTCCAGACGTCGCGGAAGATGTACAGATCTCAAATGGAATCGTATGATATCTCGGCTGACGCAGTTTTGTATCTGAGCGCGCAATTTATTGCAGTTTTGTTGTCAGGGTTTGGTGATGCTCCTCAGCACCCCAAACATTCTCGGCAAGAAGAGGCTTGGCGCTGCGGCTGCAAGGGGCAGAAAGCATGAGGGCGGGCATCGTCTTGTGTACATAAGCGTGGGCGACGGAGCTCTGGCAAAATCGGAGCCAGCGGTCGCAAAAGGAAACGAACCGTGCGGCTGTCCGTGTTGGCGCGAGTAACACTATTGTGAAATGGTCAGCATAGGATGTCGCGCCCCACAACATTTCGCATCGAACCAAGTGGATTGCTTTCCACTGCGCCTCCAGACACTATTTAACCTCTGAAACCAAGGAGGGTGGCAGCCGACACTGCTGGGGAGTGAGGGGCGGTGAGCAGGCTACCTATCTGTGTACATGAGGCGAGTCCAGGCACTGACGCTTACAGGCGTGGCAGAGCAGAGTACAAAGCCCTGAAGCTGATTACCCCGATTCGCTGTCCGTGGTTATGTTCAGGTCGGTCGTCGTCGGTCGGGTGGTCGGTCGGTCGGTCCGTCGGTCGGTCGTTTTCGGTCGTCGGTCGGTCCCGGTCGGTCGGTGGTCGTCGTTCGGTCGGTCGGTCGTCGGTCGGTCGGTCGGTCGGTCGGTCGGTCCGGTCGGTCGGTCGCTCGGTCGGTCGGTCGGTCGGTCGTCGTCGGTCGTCGGTCGTTGGTCGTCGGTCGGTCCGTCGGTCGGTCGGTGGTCGTCCGGTCGTCGGTCGGTTCGGGTCCGGTTCGGTCGGTCGTCGGTCGGTCGGTCATCGGTCGTCGGTCGGTCGGTCGGTCGGTCGGTCGGTCGGTCGGTCGTCGGTCGTTCGGTCGTCGGTCGGTCGGTCGGTCGTCGTCGGTTCGGGTCGGTCGGTCGTCGGGTCGGTCGGTCGGTCGGTCGGTCGGTGTCGGTCGGTCGGTGGTCGGTAGTCGGTCGTCGTCGGTCGGTCGGTCCATCATTCTTTATTGAGCATTGGAGGCTTCAGATGTTCAACTTGTCTCGTATGCGCGCGCTACGCAAATGTGCACTGCTGCCCCACGCCCGGCGGTAGAGGTGCGCAATTCTCTACAGGACTCTGCAGCGTCCCGCCGCCTACCAAGTGCCAGCCCCCTCTCGAGCTCGATCGCCCAGGCCCCGTGCAACGCTACCACACGTTGAAATTGGCTGGCGCGGGCCGCTTGGGGCCCTCTTATTCTGGCCGGCGAACACGAGGTTCACTCCTCCCTCAGTCCCTCACGGTGTTGACCACAAGATTGTCAAATGTTCATTATATCGCTGTTACAAAAATGCACTCCACGAAGCAATTGTTTTATGAATGTCCCTCTGTACGTGTGGTCTTTCTGGTATTGGTTAAACTCTCTTAATAATCTTTCTTGCCTTTTGGTATTTCTGTAAACATTTCTTTAATTTTGTGACACAACTGACACTCTACTTCTTTCTTTCTAATTTATAAAATTTTTGTAAAATCTAGGTGTCTGTTTAAAAACTCGCGTGCACGGGGCCTGGGCGTCGAGCTCGAGAGGGGCTGGCACTTGGTAGGGCGGCGGGACGCTGCAGGGTCCTGTAGAGAATTGCGCACCTCTACCGCGGGCTGTGGGCAGCAGTGCACAGGCGAAGGCGCGAAGTAACATCTGGAAGCCTCCATGCTCAATAAAGAATGATAACCGACCGACCGACCGACCGACCGACCGACCGACCGAACATAACCAACGACAGCGATCGGGGTAATTCAGCTTCAGGGCTTTGTACTCTGCTCTGCCACGTCCTGTAAGCGTCAGTGCCTGGACTCGCCTCATGTACACAGATAGGTAGCCTGTCACCGCCCCTCACTCCCCAGCAGTGTCGCTGCACCCTCCTTTGGTTTCGAGGGTAAATAGGTGTCTGGAGGCGCAGTGGAAAGCGAATCCACTCTGGTGCGATGGTGTGGGGCGCGACATCCTATGCTGACCATTCACCAATAGTGTTACTCGCAGCAACCACGACAGCCGCACGGTTCGTTGCCTTTTGCGACCGCTGACTCCGATTGCCAGAGCTCCGTCGCCCACGCCTTATGGTACACAAGACGATGCCCGCCCTCATGCTGCTGCCCCTTGCAGCCGCAGCGCCAAGCCTCTTCTTGCCGAGAATTTTGGGGTGCTGAGGACATCACCAAACCCTGACACAAAACTGCAATAAATGCGCGCTCAGATACAAACTGCGTCAGCCGAGACTATCATACGATTCCATTTGAGATCTGTACATCTTCCGCGACGTCTGGACGTATGTGTTCGCTACGTGAAGAAACCCGTCACCCTACTAAATTTATTTCGCGAAGTCATGTACCGCAGTAAATGGGATCTACAAATGTGAAAATTAGATCACATCGTATGTGTGACTAACGATTTCCCTGCCGACAATGATATGAATTCGCCTTGTCCTTCTGGGTGCAGCTTGTTTCATGATGTGGAGAGTATATGCCAAAGAAACTTCATCTAAAATGGAAGGTCTTCAGGGCCAGATTAACATCTTTAAGGACCCCAAGTATGACTCAATTACACGGCATGCTGCTAATATTGAAATACTGAATTCGCTTACTCAAATTCAGTAAGTAAATAAACTTTAGCCCTCGCAACTAATAAAAAATTGGTTTAAAATGCTTTGAGGGCTTTTATTCAGTGAGGCCCGCACGTGTGAACTCCGCTTTTTTATTAACCCACCCACGGAGGCCTTTGACTGTGATGTTTAAGACAACTTAGGTTATTTTATGTAAGATATGAAAGGTTCTCTTAATAGGGAGCCGACAGTTTCCCGTTTGTAGGTTTATTCATAACATATCCAGATCTTTCTCATAACATAGCTTGGATGATTATTTCAAGGAAGGCATACCCAAGTGCGTCAGCAGAAATTAGATCGTCATAGAAAGAACTCATAACTGCAGGCAAGAACGGTCAGCGTCGGCGCCCTAGCTAATGGAGGAAAAGTACCGAAAACGTGGCGCGGACGAGGACATGTGCTGCTGGAAGCGGTAGCGGTCACCCTCAATGAATGAAAAGCAGAACACCGTGTGTGTATTTCCGAGTACGTAATGCGGTTGCGACGGGTGCTTTCAAGGTTTTTCCGAAGCACGAAGACATCGAAAATTGTTTCTACCATTGGTTGTCGCGCAAGAAACCTACATCGATGACGAAGGGTCCACTTTGAAGGTTTTCTTATTAAAAACTTGTTTTATTTGAAAATGCTTTCGGCTTGTTATAGACGCTTCCACCCTTGAACGGGGTCTTCTTCAGGGACTTGATGTCATACAAACGCATGGTGTTATACATATATAATCTATTAGAGTACCCTATTGGGTAAGTCACTAATGGGTATCTCAGGCATGCCACATCATTCGCCAGATTGTCAATGTTTCCCAATATATTTTTAAAAATAGAAAAGTTTAAATGTGTTTTTCTGGCCTACTATTTTATTTGGAAAATTCATCACAGATTTCACGAAGTTTCACTTTGATGGTTGCCTAGTGAAGGAAGTCGAATATAGTGCCAATTAAATAAATTTGTTTCGTTTCTGGATTTTATATTATTTTCCTTCGCTGCGTAGTCAAACCATGCATTACTACGATATACAACCACGAAATACGATAGAGTTACAGTACAGTACAAATAGGTATGTACCCAACTTACCTGAAATTGTACAATCTTATGCTTATTCGGCCCAGTCATATTCATATACTCAACGCTTACTTCTCTCTCCCATACATGGAAGTGTGGAATTGTATCTTTGTAGTCACTTCTTGTGCGATCATCTATTGTGGTATTGAACTTAATACCTGTGGAATTTCATTGAGAATGCAATTATTCCAACAGATATTTTACTTATTGCTAAAGTCAAAGACAATATAAAATAAACTGATCAATGTAAAACATACGACGTGAAAATGTAAGTTCAGCTTATTTGAATGAAAACTTCGTCAAAAATATCAAATAGTGCTAATAATCTATTTGGATTGTTTTCTGGAAATGGAATTTACTAGTCTTGTATTTTCGCAACCGTAAAACTTCCAAATATACGTAAATTCTGGAACATGAAGCACTCACCGAGCGAGTCTATATGATGCGCCATCTCGTGAGCTACAGAGAAACCTAACCCCGCCAGGCGGATGTGGCGCAGATAATCTGGGTCATAGAAAGGCTTTTCCATGGCGCCCAACGGAATCGCTGCAAAAGGGAAACCTCTTTATTTTTGTACATAATCAAATAGTTTTATGTCAAATGTTTTTAAACATATATTACGAAAAAAGACAATAATACACAATGTTTGTAGAATAATCAAATAATTTAAAATGGAATATTACAATTATTGCCATAAAGATGTTAAATAGTTTTGCTACTCTAGGAAGAACGTTTAACTCGCGCAAGTTCAACAGTGAAGTGTCATAAAGACTAACATCAGCCTGTCTCTTAAAATAATATGTAGCAAAACGGGGTTGGACTGAACCTCTCTGTTAATCATTTGAATATGTATTACAATTTTGTGTTGTTTTTTATATCACCGGCATTCCCCTTACATTGTGTGTGAAAAATTACTTTTAGCTCAACTTGTGTTCACTGACCAGGTAAGAAAACTGTTGATAACCGTCATGACATCCTCTTAATAGACAAAGAAAAGAAAACAGCTTCTATAATTGATGTTTCAATCCTTTTGACCCACAACGTGCGGAAGTCCGAAGCGGAAGAATTCAGAAAATATGAGAACTTGGCAAATGAATTAAAAAATCATTTGGAAGTTGCACGAGGTCTCCCATTTTTCCATGGTTATATCAGTTGAAGGAGTCGTCACCAATAACTTTAAAAGAAATCTCGAGAATTTATTTATCAAAAATATCTTTGACGAAGCCCAGAAAGCCATCCTCCTTCAAACATGTCATATTGTCAAAAAATTATTCAATGCGTTGGCATTCATGTATGTCGAGATGCATTTCCTCCCAGCGCAGTCCAAGCCTAGTCCTATAAACATCATTTGGACAGGTGAAAATTATCCCTGTTAAAGCAGAGAAAGTGTGGAAAAATCGAAATAATCATCCATTTTCAGTATTTGAGTAAATCTTCGAGTGTGCGTATGTTCGTATGCGCCGTTCGTATGGGCGGTCACTCACGGCTAGACCACTTCCCGTACACCAATCGAGACGTATCATGTGTCATTGGACGCGTCTTGATCTTCTAATGGGGATCTGATAAGTTTTTTCGGATCCGGCCGAAAGATTCTAAGAAGTATACAAATATACTGTTTTTGGTATTTTGGCGCTGCGATCTTAGTGACAATACCAGGATTTAAAGCCATCCCTCCTAATTGGTTCTACGTTGGTGGCATTGATTAAACACCAGTACCCCAAGGCATTTTTCGCTCATTACGTCACAATATTCTTTTACGACGTTGGTAACACTGATGTTGACAAACATGCCCGAGGCGGGTTCGAGTCCATAGAGTAGATATATGTATCTTTCCTCTATATTGGAATCCCGCCCCGGGCATGGGCGTATGTATGTCTGTATGTATGTGTGTGTGTGTGTGTGTGTGTGTGTGTGTGTGTGTGTGTGTGTGTCGTCCATTCATCCTTCATTATCATCATTCCATTTACATCCCACCGGGCTGGCAATACTGGGGGATAAAAATCAGATTCAGCTTAATGCTGATCCCCCAAAACAAGTCACGAGCATTTCAGTAAGTGCAGGTACATGTCCGCGTGGTCCGAAACAGCCCATTCTCGACCAAAAAACCTAACAAAATAATAATAATAATAATAATAATAATAATAATAATAGAAGATTTAATGTATATGTTGAGGCTCAAGCAATGAGACCCACTCTTCTACCTATTGCCCGTTCATATGCAGTACATGCAAAGTAGTTTGTCCTTCCTTTTATAAGTATTATTGAACAAACAACTTATGATAATATAAAAAATGAAGTTTCACATATAGATATAAAACAATTACCCCATTGCTAGGAACCAATGTTAACACTTTAAAAAAAAATACAAATGCATTTGAAAATACATAAATGAAAATTGAAGGTAGAGTAATTTGTATTTTGTGCCGTGTGATTTCGTATTTTACAAAATTATATACTCACCAATAAAGTTCAAGCTGTACAGAGTTATTCCTGTGGTGTCGTAGGGGGCAATAAAGTGAGTCCATCTGCATATTCAGAATGAATTAATATTTTACAGCGAGTGGGCAATTTCAGGGAGCGATTGAAGTTCGTCAAAAAACCAAATGTTACTTACATGTTTTTAATAGGTTCTTCGTCAATTCTCTTATACAAACGTTTTCTATTTCGAGCCAGTAACATGATGACGTTTTTGATGAATCCTTCTCCATCAATTGGGTACTAAAAAATAAAATATTCTGTAGCCAAACAAATATTTCATTAACGAGGGTAAAATTAATAATTAATGAAACACAGAAACATAGTCAAATAACCACAAAGTATAAAAGTGACATTAGTAACTCAAATATCAAAACTGAATGGATTTTCTTTGTACAATTTTGAAAATTCTCATCTTACTTTGAGAAAAGTATGTGTTACTGGCATTCCATAAACGGCAACATTTTGTACACGCCTCATACAGTCACGATATAAAAGACGCATTATCTTAAATTTTATACAAGAATATATGTTCTCATTTAAAAAAGGTTTATGTACAAAAATTTTAAAAAAGTGGCGCCGATCAGATGACAGGCGATAACGACGGTTTCGTTTTTGTTAGCGGTAATAAAAACAAATATTTTTATATGTTTGTAGAATATTACAATGCCATACTGTTTAATAATTACTAATATATATTTTTCGATATATTTGCATTTGTTTGCCAATGCTATCAATATCGTACTTTTATTGACTTTTAATTATTTTAATTTCTCGCATTCTGCTTATTTTTGCAGTGAATGTTCTACGATTTCGAATGACTTTTACAAAAAATAATTCGGAGAGAAATTGTGATATAAATGGTATTACATGACCATTACCAAGGCAAGAAAGTACGCGCTGTTGTAGCACCACTAGTTAATTAATTGAAACGCTCCATTGCCATTTGAACTAGGAACCAGAATGGATTCGTTCCCGACACTCGTTCTTCGCTTTCGTGCACCGATCTCGCGATGTGGGAGTCGATTCGTTGTATTAGGGATAACTCATGAATAGAACCATCTCGACTCACGTCGTTGAGAGCCGCGTCCAGTTTAAGAGTATCCATCACGTCGCGTGTGTGGTCGGTGATGTTGGCGATCTTAATGCTC